AATAATAAAAAAGCTGCATGTCACAAGTCTCCATCCATGAATAAAAACATGAGCTCAGGTGTCTTTTTGGGAAGGACTCACTGTTTATATATCTATATTTTGTGTTATCTGCTGAATGTGTTTGTCCTGTAACTCTTAATCATTGACTAAATGGTTGAATACAGTTATAATTGTGGTCTGGTCTTGAATTTTAAAATGAGCCCGTTTAGCACCGGACCTCTCTGATGTCGCAGTACACTTAAAGGTACCACGGGGGGGGGGGGGGGGGGGGTCTTCAAAGCGGTCCCCTGCTCACCAGCTGCACCAACCACGTGACAAATAACACCAAATTTGTCAGAGAATACACCAGACTAAACTGTGATTGGATTACAAATGTCCGAGCAAGTTTTCAAAACGTCTTATGTTGATGTTTGACCAGAAAATTACATAATTCAATGGTTCTCTTACTGTTATATTTGAGTTTTTTTTCCACTCCACGTTTGGGTTGAAAACCAAATTTATTGTACCGAAATGTGCGTAGTCGGACACATCCTGCTCTATTCCTGTAAAGTGACCCAGTTTCCCGACTTCCCAAGAGACTTTATCCATTTCCCTGACATTCTCTATCTCAAATACACCTCTCTAAACTCCCTGGTTAGTGAAAGCGCTCTGCTGTGGAGGCTGAGTGTGACCTTACAAGGGTTTGATCCGTCGGCCACCAGCAGCATGCGCAGCGAGCTCAGGTTGATGTCCTTCTGGTCTTTGTGGGCCACCAGAGCCCAGTGCATGTCTCTGGACTTCACACACGCTACCTTGGCTGCACACACACACATATAAAGACAGACAGACAGGAAATTAGCATTTAATCTATTTGACAGACAGATGAATGTAGTGAGTTGACTGAGCTGAGTGGCAGGTGGAGTGTGTGTCTGACCTTTGTACTGGCAGACTTTCTGGATCCATGACAGAGGGTTGACCTTCATCAGCGAGTAGGGGACGCTGATCACGTGCATCATGTTCATCACGCTCTGCACAGCACACACACATAATGACATGTTAACCTTTAATACTCTTTAAAACTCAATCGGTTATCCATTCTTTTAAAATATAATATGTTTCTGAGCCTATTCGTGTCACTTTTACAAGGTATTATTATCACCTGGATATGGTTATTAATTATTTAAATGTGGGATTTAATATTTAAAAGTGCTCATTTGTCCAAAATAGCAGCTACAAAGCTTTAAAAAGTAATATAATTAGTTTAATATTTGTACTAATCTTATCTTCACTGCAAAGACCATTTACTGTAGAGTGTCAACCTGCCCTCATTGATTACACCCCCTGTTATCAGAGGTGAGGAGGGGGGAGAAGCAAACAGGAAAGGTCCTGACCTCTAACCTCTAGTTTGCAGGTCTTACCGTCAGGATGCCGTGCCACAGGCCCACATCCTTCTTAAAGTCGAGAACGTTCACTATGGTCTCCGCTACAGACAGAGAGGGAGAGGAAAGAGTTAAATGACAAAATGATGATCTGCAGACTGAACCGAGTGTGTGTGTGTGTGTGTGTGTGTGTGTGTGTGTGCGCCTACCCTCGGTGTAGCTGCAGGACTGGGTGAGAGCCTGGCAGTGTGTGAGCAGAGCGATCCTCGTCACTGTGACTCCCAGCACGCTGCCGTCCTTACAGGTTTTATACTGAGAGAGAAACAACAGACGGATGACGGTGAAGCCAGAGGGGAAGGGGACATTTGGTGCCTTCGTCTTCTTAAAATATACCGTGGAACGTCATTTGGTCGTTTTAAAATCTCAGCAAGTTGCGGAAATAAAAAGTGACAATGAGTCAATTTAACCTAACCTTGCGAGGCAGCTGAACTTGCACAATGACAGAATCCCGGGAGAGCGATGCAACGGATCAGAAGTTATATGCCTCAAAGTTTCATGCCTCAGTTCCTTAGATTTCTTTATCTTGCTTCATAAGCAAACTCATAAAGTATAGCTTCATTAGTTAATAAATGCAGCACGAGTAGCAGCCCAGCGGTCGGTGAGGCAACCAGAGGAATGTCAGTTCCAATCAACAGACAGGTTAAGGTCCCAGCTTCTGCTCCAGAGTCCACAATGAAGACGACACTTTTAGTTGGCCTGTTAGACTCACCTCTATGTAAGCAGTGTCGTTGTTTGCATCTTTGATGTGAGGGAACCAGTCTCTGGGAGGTTTGGAAAGGTGCTTGGACTCCGTAACAAACCACAGTAACTTTGGCCAACCTGCAGCGAGCGGATAGAAAGAGATAAAGAAGTTTATGTATGTGATTAATCGAACCAGAAGAAAAGAAGGAACAGCGGGATTCTCTTTCATTAATGCATTTTACAAACAACTTTATTTAAGTTAATCTCGGTCCTTATCCAGGGAGAAAATTATTTAGTTGTTTGGTTAACAGGTGTCTAAACTGGCTGTTAACTTGACTGTTTTTCAGTGTATTTATAAATACTTTAAACTCATTCTCTACTACTAGTGTTCTCATTATGTGCACAGAGAGAGACAGCGGGGTCACCCCTCCCCCGCTGAGAAACCTCACGCCTTTACAACTCAGCGATGATTGATGATTTTCACTCTCACCTTTGAACTGTGGGATCTCTCCTGTTGCACTCTTGGGCAGGCCCTTGTGGCAGGCGTCACTGGTCAGCGCCACGGTAACGCCACAGCTGCCCAACAGGAATCCAATCTGCTGACTGCCGGCATCCTATTGGACGATAAAGGGTGTGTGGGGGGAGAGCAGTCGGTTACCGCCGTGTGAAAATATAATAATACTCTTCTTAAGATTCCTGCCTCTTAATAAAAGAATTAAAACGGTGTTTCATGTACTTCTACAAGCACACGTGTTGGCACACAGCACAGCTGAAGTGATGTTTGCTGCACTGCTGCTGCAGTTTCCAGCCAAAACCGAAATTTTATGGAAAATCTTGCAGCACAAATGCAGGATGGGGGAAGGGGTTCAAGAGACGTGCAGCAACGTGCAGCAAAAGACATTTTCTGCTGCAGCGGTAATCAGTGTGTAACCATGCCGACCCTGTGCAGACAGTGCTGCAGAGACACGCAGCCGCGTTTCATCGAGGGTCCACGTTCAAGAAACCCATTATCATTCCTGCGTCCAAGAAAACAAGAGCAGCCTGCCTGAATGACTTTCACCCAGTGGCACTCACCTCTCCCAGCACATTGGACCCACTACAGTTTGTTTACCGTCCCAACCGATCAACGGAAGGAGCCATAGCACAGATGGTCCACACCACCCTATCTCACCTGGACAAGAAAGGGAGCTATGTGAGGTTGCTGCTCATCGACTACAGAGTTTAACACCATAGTTCTCCCCAGGCTCGACACAAAGCTCAACGACCTGGGATTAAACAGCTCACTGTGCAGGTGGATACTTGACTTTCCTTCCGGGAAGACCCCAGGTGGTGAGGGTGTGTGGACAGTGTCAAGGAGCTGATTGTGGACTTTGGGAAGAAGCAGGGGAGTAAATATACCCCTCCAATATCAACAGGTCCTCAGTGAAGAGGGTGGACAGCTTTAAGTACTCCTGCAACATCGAGAGCATTCTGACCAGCACCAAACAAGACTGCAAGGCCCCGCAAAGAACAGATTGATTGCCTGAGCAGAATAAGGCCTGAATCATTAAATATTAAGGATCCCAACCACCTGGACAACATCTTCTCTTCTTGCTATGATTGGGAAGAAGATACCGGATACACCAGGCCATCCACAATTAAACATAAACCAGATGAAACAGCTGAGCTAAACTGAGGTAATACAATTAGAAGTATAAAAAGTTTAATGTGAATTTTGTTTTTCAGACACAGGCTGAGAGACTTCCTTCCTTCAGACATGTTTGGTCCCAGAGGGAGATGGCACCAAGATCAACAGTTGAAACCTAATTGATGACAGAATCTCTCCGTGTGATGGCAGGGCAGCAGGAGGGCATGTTTCTTACGTGTCAAACTTGTTTTTTCTGTGCTGACAGGATTATTTTCTCCGAAATACTTGCTGCTAGCAAACAGCTGAGACAGAAGATCCCAAACATTGTTTCATCCGTATCACTGAGATGTCCACACAAACAGAGCTGAACTGAAACACAGCAAGAGTTCGCAGCTCCTGCGTACGAGGTGAAAGCAGAGAGGATTAACATTACACAGCAGCGCTGAAAAAAATTAAATTACCTGACCTCCCATAGAGAAACTAATCCTGTTGAATGATGTCAGATGGAAAACTAAAAGAAAGAGGGATTGGAGAGCAGCAGCGATGGCTATACAGTACATAAGCTACAGACAGCCAGGTGATGAGGTGGGACTTCTTCCATGTAAAAAAGCTCCAGGTGGGTTTTATAAAGTACCTTGCGACTCAGTGGGACCTCTATAGGAACCGGGACCACCTCAGCCAGCAGACAGCCGTAGAAGGCCACCATGAAGGCCACAGGGTCGTTGTTAGGAAACACCAACGCCACCTGGGAGAGGGAGGGGAGACAGAAGCTGTGGTCAGATGTGATGGGATCATCTGAGTGGTTGTAGCTTCATATTGTGTGTACAGACATGAGTGGTATCAATCTCACTCTCTCAATACAAGTAAAACATGTCACACTACTCCTTTAAAATGTGTTGTTACAGATTTCACAATAAAAGCTCAGATTTACTGATACAAAGAAGGAGAGAACGATTGTAGGGAAAGTGGGTTTCTGAATAGATTTGAAAAACTCCAACGACATGAATAAACATGAAGCAGGTTTTATAAATGAAGGTCTTACATCGCTTGAGTCATTACGAACAATACTGGCCAAATGAAATGAGGACAAAGCCCAGACACCAGTAACTGTGTGAGGTGGTGGAGGAGTGTGACTCACCCGATCACCCGGTCGCACCATGGGCTCCTGCTTGCTGCCCAGTTTGTGGAGGATGTTGTAGGCAAGCTTGATGCTGCGAGACCACAGCTTTCCTGCAGGGAGCAGGACACAGGATACGAGGGTGTGAGAGAGAGAGAGAGAGAGAGAGAGAAAGAGAGAGACAGAGTGAGATCACAGGATGTGAGTGTGTGTTCTTGGACTTCTATTTTGAGGACACACAGTCGATAAAAGAAAAAACCTCCCTAAAGTGACGACATTTAAGAGCGTTCAGCAGTCAGGAGAGGTCAGTAGAGAATCGGTTTTGTTTTTATCAAGGATTATACTTAAAAGGTAATTATTGTCTAATGCACTCTTGGTGGACAGGTGCAGAGCAAAATGAAATAATGTTTAAAAAAAGACAATTCCCTGCTGACAGTGTGCTGGAACTCAGCTTTTTTCTTTCGCATTATTTTATTTTCCTGCACACCTGTGTACCATCAACACTTAGTTTGATAGATTAGCCTCAAAAATACAAACATACAGTCCATGTTTACTGATAACCTGTATTTAAGCCTCACATTCTTTATTTAACTCATCTTAATTCCTTTTTATCATTTCAGGCTGTGTTTTATTGAAGCAAAGCTCTTGTACAGCTGCGTTGAATTGAGACATAATTAAACATGGAAGCATTTAAGAGGTTATTTTGTTGAAAAAAGGGAATCTTCTGTATCTTCTTGGTATTTGCAACAGTACTGAACATTTTCAAATGATACCCAGCCGGACGCATAACTCAAAAAAGGGCTTGTTAACCTCGAATCCGTGGAGAGTTTTAGTGTCTCATCGTAGTGTGAATGCTGTTTCAGGGGCTTTTATTTTGGTAACAGTAAGATTCAAACACTTAAACATTCAGGGAGTTTGTCCCAGAGAAAAGGACCAAAGTCAAACCTTGTAACTTATTTTATCTATGTGAGAGAGACTGATATGTAATGTTGTATATGTATAAGCCCCTAAAAAGATTCATTTTGTTTCTCAGCTCCACAAACATCTGCTGTAATTCTTCTTTTTTTCACAGTTTAAACACCCAGAACAACTTGGAGTCCAACATCCAACAAATAAACTTTAATTGTTAGATCACCAACACGCTCAATTAGCTCATTTCACTGCTGCACAAATAAATAATGTGAACAACTGAAGGAACTACAGCAGCGTCTGGTTACCATATGTGAGGACGTAGAGGGGCTTCCCTGCCGTGTCCAGGCTGGTGAGGCAGGGGGCTTTGGGGGAGATCGTTCCCCAGCGTTGCAGCGCAGCCTCCAGGGACGGGGGCCAGTTGGTGACCACACCCAGCGCCTCGCCCCGCACTGGCATCATCTCCGCCCCCTCCGGCCGCGGCTGATTGGGGTCCGGCTGCTGGACTGGAGATGAGGAGATAGATAATGCCATCAGTGCACAGCTCACAAACGTTTACCGTTTACAGTTTGTTTGCTGTTGTCGGGTTGTGAAAACACCACATGGAAACATTTAGCTGAAGCCAGTGGCAGTGAGACAGCTGTTAAGAAGCTGTAATCACACTCAAATACACTGATTATTAATTAAGTGTACCTGTTATTAACCTGTTATCTACTGTAAGAATGTGTAAAATGTGTGACTGGATGGCCGGTTCCCTTTTATATTTAGTTTAGACAGCTGAGAGGAGGCAGCAGAAAAGAGGGATTTTGCAGGATTCAACCTTGAGACATTGTCATAAAATGTGGATCCAGAGTGAATTAACCACTACATCAACCCTAATCTATACTTTATCCTGTATGACCACACCGACACACTGTAAAACGTATCCAAAAACACAATGTAAAGCTGAAAAAATAACTTTTTCCAATACAACTTTTTTTTCTAAAATACAACACAAATGAAGACTACTGAACAGAAATGATGAGACGAAGATAGAAAATGCAGCCAGACGGTGAGCGCCAAGCAAACAGGAGACAGACATGATGATCTGCAGAGATCTCTGGGCTCAAGATTCCTATAAACATACATTTCAAAATACTTGGTGAAGAACTTTGTGTTCTATATGAACCAGGCCGATCAACATCTGGTCTCTCTATTTCATATAACTCTTTAATCATTCTTCACACTGACACTGAGTGTGAGACAGATGTGAATGTACGTATTTTTTACACTCTTTCTACATTTACAGATTTCCAGAGATATATAGGAGCTTTGAGTGGCCTTTAAGGTCTGCAGGCTTTAATTCAGACTGAACATTAACACAAAGAGATTAATAATAAGATCCAGTTTGTCAGGGTGCAGTGGAGGATCATCACTATTATTACTAATAACGTAATAGAGCAAAGTGAACTTGGACTGCGCTGCTCCTGCCCTACGCCTCACTCTCTGCTTCACCTATCCCACACATCCTTTCTATCTCAGCTGTCAGAAAACGCCCAGCTCTCTCTCTCTCTCTGTCTCCGCTCCACGAGTGCCGCCGCTTCATTGCTCTGCAAGAATGACTGCGACCTTCACTGCTGCTGATCCGCTGCTTTACTCAGCCCCGCCACCACCCCAGCATCCACCTGCAGGCTCTGACTTACGTCCCCGGGGGGAGGATATGTGCTATCATCACTCTTCAGTGCTTCAGTCTGTGCACGAGCGTGTGCTGCAGGGAGTGATAAGGTGATGAGCCGAGGTAGCAAACATGCAGAAACTATATTTCTGTGCTGTCTTAACATGTGAATACACCTTTCTACGTGAGTTGACTGATTGAACTGTATTTAGCTCCATGTTCCTGAACTAAATCTGCCTCTTTCTGCTTCAAGCTGTCGCACATCAATGTGGACTGGACTGTAACATTCACAACAGGAATGAGAAGTAGAAGAAGTAAAGTACTAATACCATACTGTAAAAATACTCTGTTAGAAGTAAAAGTCCTGCATTGAAAGTAAAAGTATGTAAATATAATCAACCTGTTACTGTTGTACTATTATAAATGATATCATTAGATTATTATGACTATGACTTATTGTAAAAACAGGATTTTACTGTTGTAGTTGGTTGCTGCTGATTATTTTCTCCTCCATCATAATTACATTAAATTGAAATTACTACAATAATTAAAAGGAAACGCAGCAAATCTTCACATTTGTGAAGCTGAATAATGAAATGTTTTGCATGAAAAATGACATAAACACAAAATAGCTGCAAAATCAAAATCATTTTTCAACTAATCAATTACGGAAATTAATTTACTTAATAAACAAATTATTTCAGCTGCAGTTTAATTAAATAAACTATCTTTATAAATATATATAAAGGATAAATAAAGTATCTATCTAATTTATAACAAAACATCATATTTTATAAGTTCTCTGTATATTTTATGTGCAAAAAACTTAAATAAATAAAGTTATTAAATGATTCTAGTGTTGTAAAAAGAACAATATTTTCTTGTAGTGAAGTAAAAGTATAAAGCAGCATGAAAAGAAAAGACTCAAGTAAAGTACAAGTACCTCAAATTTGTACTTGTACAGTACTTGAGTAAATGTACTTAGTTACATTCTACCGCTGTCAAAATCATGTATCCTTTTTTGCATTTAGTGAATTTACGTCTGAGCTTCTGCACTCATGGATGCAGCTGTGAACACCTGAGCGCTGGGCCGCGTCTCCAGGTGCATCCGCATCGACAGCGGCTCGTTCTACACGCTGCTGGAATGAGGTGAAGTGAAGCTGAACACAAGGAGCACAACTTCCAACACAATTCGTTGTGTCGTTGAAGGGAAACCATTTAGAGAATCACTCATGACTCCCAAGTATGAAGATAGATTGGATGACACACTGTAACTTAAAATCAGACAGACAGAATCATGAGTCATGCAGAATCAAAGACGGTTTCTAACCCTCCAGAAGTTCGTCAAAGTCATCGACAAAGAACTCTCGTAGTGGAGGTCTGCGAGGCTGCTTCAGCGTGTTCACAAGCTGCTGGATTTTAGCGGACACGCGACTGCTGACTGGAACACCTGTAAGAACCCCACACACATACACACGGGGTGAGGATGATGTTTCTTTTGGTGGGGGGAAAAGGAAAGCGGTGGCCTGGATTACTTGCAAGACAGTCCTCATTATCGGATCAATAACAATTTAAACCTCAAGTGTTTTAAACCGCGTGTTTCTGATCAGAAGACTGCTGGTTCAAACGTCTAGATGGCTTCACAGAGAAGAAACTGAATAAGGAAACGCTGTATTTCTTCTAACTGTGCCTGCATGATTGTGAAGCATGCTGAAAAATAACAGAGATGCTTAAATAAAAAACAATAAAAGGGTAAAAAGAAAGAAAAGAAAAGTCCAATCTGTTCATCCAGGGGAGTGACATGAACAGACACGGTGTAATTGGTCAGTTCTCTAAGGCGATGGTCCAATTTGAGCTCACCTCCTGATTAAGGAGTTTCTATTTTTACGCGACCATCTTCAGCATCTTTATTCAGAGGCTCCAGTTGGGAGCGGGCTAAAGGCGTGACAGAGTTTCACGCGGCGGCGGCGGGGGGAGGAGACGTCTCTTACCATCGCCCGTCTCCATGCGCTCTGCGTTGCCGTACTTCTGCGTGTTCCTGGCAATGGTTCCCATATTGGCCATGTGGTGACGCTCGGTGTGGTGGGAGTGGGACGAGTCTGACGAGTAGCCCGTCACATCCGGGGGGGTCGAGTGATTCTCTGCAGGGAGACGGAGGGAGGGAGGGAGGGGGGAGACGGATTGAGAGAGAACAGAGGGAGAGGTAGACAAACAGCCAGTGGTGACTCATTGTTCGTGTTTATCACTGAACTCTTTGTCAAGTGCCTTGTTTAATCGCTCTTATGGACAATTAAACCCAATACGATGGTCCTTTTGTTTGTTAATGTGTGTGTGGAATTAAAAGGGAACACTTTTTATGATGCAAAGTGTAAAAACCTGCTTTTCCAAACATAATCAGATGATATTAAACCGATTCCTTCGACACAAACATCTGGAAATAAACTACAAAGAAAATCTTTATTTTACGAGAAGACTGTCAACAACTTTTATGTCTTAAAATCGATAGCAAACCGAGTGTAGAGCGCACTCATTTTGAAGGTTTTAATAGACGCGGGATCAAAAAACTAACTGAAGTCGGGCCACTCATCAGATCTCTGTTCACTCTCTTTGATCTGTGATGAAACGTTGCTCCAATAAATCACATTTATTGGGAACTATCAGTACAGTGTTCAGATCTTATGCTCAAAAATATGTAAACCTATAACAGTCTGTTTCCCTGCATATATTCAACACTTATTCCAAAACTGTCAGGTTGTCTTTATCGTAGCTAATATTTTTAACACTGATTTTATAAAACACTTTGTATTTAGGTGTCGGACCTACCGTCTGACTCCAGCGGCGGCGGCCACAGCATGTCAGAGCCAAACTCACAGGATCGTCGCAGAGATCCTCCGTTCTCTGCGACACTCAGAGCTCCCTTCCTCTTCAGGGACAGGTGGCCGATACCTGCAGGCAGCGCACATGCACAGGTGTATCAGACGGGACGATGCAGCCAAACCACAGGCTCGAGATTCATTATCTTGTTTACTTATTCTTCAGAAAGCTCCTAATTTAAACTAAAGAGTTGCCACGTTTGTTGTGGCATCTTATTTAGTTAATGTTTGTGATTAAACAATCTTTAATGTCTTTAAAGTTAAATAAAGGTTATGTGGTATTTATATTTTTTAAAGTAAGGTTTCAAAATCTGTAGCAACTTAAATTGGGATTAGTATTGAAATGTGTTTTTCATACATTTGGAAATAGATAAAATGTCCAAGAACCTGTAAAAAATGACATATACATTAGTACAAAACCACAATAAAAGGTAGGGATGGGTTGCTGATTTTTAAATAGTCATTAAATGATAGAAAATGAGTTAAAAACATGCTACAACATGTGTTTGTTGCTGCAGAAGAAAATAAGTTCCTGTTTGAACGTCACAACGTCTCACTACCGTCCTTCACAGTAACCAGCTCCAGCTACGAAACAGACTACATCAGAAACCAACGTGCTCCCAACTACAGCTCAAAAACTCTGGAAAAGGTAACACAGCTTTCATATCACGTGTACAACTAACTCTGTGTGTGTGAACATTTTTTTCTTCCTTAATAAAAGGTATTACATATGAACAGGAAATATGATGTAAGTGCTTACATTAAAGTGCATGGAAATCCCACTTCCTTCAGTTATACTGCTTTAATACTATTTCTTATCCTCTTTTTAGGATCCAAATCCATTAAAAAACAAGATTCTATTGTGAAAACTTTACAATTTGGAGCTTAAATTAGCACACAAACAAGTCTTCAGACAAAAACATCCAACTTTAACAATGTAAAATGTTTCTTTCTTTTCTGTTTTAATACACAAACACATCCCAGTGAGCCCAGTGAAGTCGTACCGTGGTGTGACTGCGACAGGTGGCTCTGCTGGTGGTGCGACTGGCCCAGGTGCGTGTGCACCAGGTGCGTGTGCGCCAGGTGCGAGATGTGCGTGTGCGCCAGCGAGTCGGCCAGCCGCCCGGCGTTGCCACTGCCTCCGCTCTGCGTGGACGAGGACGAGGAGGAGGTGGAGCCCAGGTGGGCGGGGCCTAACTGGGAAGGGCGGCTCATCCAGTGCTCCATGCCCGACATGTCGTCGCCTGGCCCCGCCTCCTCCTCTGAGCCCGACGACGAGTCTGAGCACAGGGGCGACAGGCCTAGTGAGAGTCAGTAACCGTTATTATTTGTCAGCAGGAAACAACATTAACAACATGAGAGCTACTGAAACTTTTAACATGAAAGTGTTTGACATTTTGGGAATTATACTGCAGATACAATAACACTACATTAAAGTCCTGAAAGGCGATTTAAGATCAAGAATTCCTCCGCCAACATGTTTCCAGCCTCGTGTGTGAGCCTTGTAATGATAAACAGATCTAAATTTAAAAGTTTTCTGTCTCTGTTCAGTGAAACAATGGTTCAAAGTCAGGCAGCAGATCATGATTCACCACTTTCAGCAGTGAGTGGCAGAGGAGACTGCCGGCTCCTGAGCTCACAGTCCCAAAATGTCAATAATTAGTACGTAGAACAAGAACCAATTTAGTTGAAACTGGCTTCAGGCTGCACTACACAGAACCACAGAGACTGGATTTAATTCTTTAAATAAGAGTTAATCATCTGAACACAGGGGAGCCTCAGTAAACAATCAACGTGAACAGAAATCTTACATTTAAGTAACATAACGGGGCAGATTCACCCGACTGTCCACACAGATCCTAAACCAGTTTGTGCTGTGAGGAGTTAACGCTGTAAAAACGGGTTACGGGGAGACGTCGGGTCCACTTAACAATTCTCCCAAAAGGTTAAAAAGCAAATTACCGGTGAACAAAGTCATTACATTTCCTTCATTAAAGTTCAATCAACACCCAAATTATGTTATCAACTCTGATTATGTTCAATCTAACGAGCTCATATTTGAGGTAAAGGTCAACTTCAACCTCCCCTTTCAGCCAGCGTCCTGTGGTTGCAGAGTGCACAAACACACTGACAAACAGCTGATAATCAGGATTTTTCCTGTTTTTTCGTGGCAGGCCACATTCACAGTAGCTGGCTGCATCGTTACAGCTGTCTGTGGTTTTGTTTTTACTGTAAATCTGTCAGTCGCGCCGCAGGAAATGTGCAGGTTTGCAGTTTTGTTTTGTTTTTTTGGGGTGAAATGTTTCTGTCAGAATAAAAAAAAAAAAAAACGTCTGAGAACCAGAGACAGAGCATTACAACATAATCCTGTCTGGGCACTGGGCAGCCTCTCTGGGGTCACATTTTAGGCTTAGTGCAACCCAGTGCAGCTGAGTGTGTCCGTCTGTGTGTGTGTGCCTGATATTTCAGTGTCGCTGTAAAGTTTTAAAAGCTCTAAATGAGAGACACATCGGTAGGTGATAAAATCAACTTCTCGACTCAGTAGCGGACTAACTGACTTGAGAAGATGGTTTGCGGTGCGCGGAGGAGGAGCGCGGCTGCGTGTTCTGGCGTGTGTCTCGTCACCTGGAGGCGTGTATGCATCCATGGAGGTCTGCACCACCAGCGAGCGTCTCTTGGAAGGCATCGGCACCGCCACCTTCCTCTCCACGTGTCGAGCCAACACGGCCTGCACCGCCTCGGTGTGGACGTCTGAGAGAGAGAGAGAGAGATTCATTCACACAAAGGCAGGAGGAGGAGGAGTTCAGTTTTTTGTGCTCTTTGAATCGAGCAGATTGGATTCTTTAAATACTTTTGTGCAGCAGAACGAATCTTGTGTCTGAATTAAACCTCAGTTGAAGGAGACACATACGCCAGAGAATATAAAATGTGTTTTTTAAACTAACATGTATTACTAGTCTAAGTGAAGCTCAACTAGCACCACAAGGATCCATGCCCAAAATTACAGATGCCATGTGGTTTTAGTTTAGTTTTAGTTTTTAGTTTCTAATGTAACGGCTGAATTTAAGTTATTATTTTACTTAAATATATTTTGACTCCAGTAGTTTATATCTGAAACCACATAAACCCATCTGAAGGTACAATGTCGGCTTATTCAGTGTTGCTAAAGATATAATTTAAAAGAATGTAGCAGCATCGAAGCTGTGCAACCTGTGGAAGAGACATTAGCAATAACAGCGACACAGTAAACAGACGTGTTTGTCAGGCTGTGAAAACACTGCAGTCCCTCTGGGGGAGCTTTGTCTGAGAGAACAACCCTGATATTGAATATTACAATGTTTGTTTTTTACAGAAAACCTGCATTACAAAGTGGGGAAATTAAGTTTGAAGGACTTTGTCTGCTAGCAGGACGTTTTTTGGGCCATAATTGGGACAAAAAGACTCGACTGGATCGATTTTGAATGCTTCTTGCTCGAGTTCTCCTTTAAATGACTATTATTTTTTGTGTTAATTAGACTTGATAGGATTAATTGAATAAAACAGCTATAAAGTAGTATTATTAAAGGAAGGGTGGGTCGGTGGCTGCCTGTGGTTGTACCTGATCGGTAGCGTTCATCTCTGGTGCCGGAGGTTCGCCGTCGGTGGAAACGGGCGGCAGACGGAGGGCCGAGCGGGGCCCGATGAGACATGGGCCCTTCCATACCTACAGAGGCAAGCAGACAAGCAGGCGGACAGACACACACACACACACACACACACACACACACACACATATGTACAAACACGTTTCACAAAAGCAATAAATACAGCGGGAAAAAAAGGGAAAAAACAAACATGGAGATGATTTGATTCGGCAGAAAAATCAGATTTTTCTGACTCAAAACAAAAGAATTTGAGAAACGCAACATAAAATAAAATCATAATAAAGTGGCAGTTGTATTTGGTTGCTCCAGGACGGTAATCGCTCAGTATCCGGTGACCCGTAAAGCTTCAGCCCTGAGATAAACCCGGGTTGTGTGACAGATGAGAGTGTGTTTTAGTTGCAGCGAGCGGCAAGCTGAGCTCTAGAGACTCTTAACCTACATCCACTAATGGCAGCGGCTGAATCGATAAGAGTATCTGTATTCGTCATGATACCGGATCGATATCCTAGTATGGGAATATTCTAGCTGGTGGGGGGTGGAGGGGGGAGTCTGTGTGAGTGGGGGGGAGGTCAGAGGTTGCTAAATTACCTCCAGCATGTGGAACATATGCCCTGATCAGCTTGTGCCTCTTCTTCTCATAACCCTTCTGAGTGATGTCCCCTGCAAACAAATAGAGATAGATAGAGAGTGAGAGAGCCAGTGACGGCGGCGTGGGCTGATTTTATTCATTTATTCATTGAATAATTTAGAAAAAACATTATTATTGTTGTTATTTAACTTGAAGGAGGGGCGGATTGAATCTATGTGGAGTCACCCAACCTCTTCTGTCTCTCCCAGTCTTTTAATGTCTCTGTCTCGACCGTTAATCAAAGATAAAATAATGTAAAACACAACTGAAACAACGTAAAAATAAACGATGGGATGAATGACGATAGAAGTGAAGAATGGGACAGAAAGAACAAAGTGGAACGGGGTTGTTCGACAGTCTGGTGTGCGGAGCCTCTGAAGGTTGGTTGTTCTTTGTTAATACTCATTTTTCTCATTTTCCACAGCAGAAGACGGATTCCTGCACACAGATTAAAACCTAGAGAACAGCTGTGAGTTTTTGTAAGTAATCTTTGACAGTTTGTGGCTTTTTGTTTAACTACTGTTTGTCTTCTTCAATGTTCTAGTGGTTTTTCTTCAACCCGCTCGTCCTCTGACCTCCGAGGAGTTTTACAACCATACACAAAGCGAACAAAAAGGTTTTCAGGAGCTGCCCGGCTCCGGTTTTACATACGTAACACTTCCGCTGTTACTTTACGTAAACCTGCACGATAAACCGTATGAGTGTGAGCGAACACTTCCTCGTTATCTCCGTTAAATGCTGTTAAACCGTCTGTTTCCCAATTATCGCTGGTGTGAAAATGAGCGATGAACGAGACAGCTGACAGATGTGCATCGTAACGCTCTCACTCTTGTGGTTTTATGAGAATATTTAACCCCAAAAAGTACATTTTAAGACACAAACACACATCATGTTGTACATTTATGTTACTGTAAACAAAAGCCAAAACCAACAATTACTACCACTAATACTTCCTGACTTTTCTTGACGACTGAAGACATAAAATCCTCCTTAAAAACCGGTCACACGCGTGTAGTTTCATTTCCTAAAACATCTATACGAAAACTGAATGAGTTACTTTTTAATTTACCGTAAAACTTCCAATAAAAGCCTGATAATAAACGCAGGTCTCCAATAGAGGCCTGGTCTGGATTTTATAGAAATTATTTTAATGTATAAAACCTCTTAAAACCCACCGAGTCGCCCGGTTATTATATTTACACAAATATAAATGATCAGTTACAGATTCTCCACAATTCAATCGTTCTCTATATTTTATGAAAACGATCAATAACAAAGTATAACGTTAATTCATTCTGAATTACCGGCAACGCGGTGAACAAGAGAGAATGGAAAACAAACCTCCGAAGCCTTCATAATCCATCATGCGCATCAACAAAAAATGAAGAGACGCAGCAGTTAGAGTTTAGTTTTGTGCTAAAGGAAATAAAGGCAGTAAAAAGCTATTATTAGAAGTTTTACGGTACTTTATAGTTCCATTAAATATATAAATAAATATATAAATACAGAATACATACAGAGCACATCTGTCCTATTACAGCGATCCCGTACGTCGACCTACAGAGTGGCTCAGTGGCTCAGTGGCTTCAGTTGGTTCAGTGGTTACTGGTGCATTTTCGACGCATACAAACGACTTATAACAAATACTGACGCGGGTTATTAATGCTATTAACGATCTGGTTATTCTGACAAGAGGTCTAGGGTTATTGCAATGAAATCTACAGAGAAGATTCTTCACAACTCGAATCAGACAAAAGAGTTGTGTTTATGTATATTTTTATGAATGTAATTTACAGATCTAGAGAAGAGAGAGAGAGAGAGGGAGAGAGAGAGTTATGAGAGATTGGAGAGAGAGAGAGATGAGGTGGGAGTAGAGAGAGGAGACAGAGAGAGAGACAAGAGAGAGATGACATGAGTAGGAGAGCAGACATGACAGTAGAGAGAGAGACATCGAAGAGAAAGATGAGACACGAGAGACACGAGAGAGATTGTAGAGACATGTAGTAGAGAGAAGACATTTGAGAGATATGAGAGAGATCAGAGAGATGAGAGAGAGAGTGAGATGAGAGACATGAGAGAGAGACACGGAGAAGAGAGAGAGAGAGAGACAGAGAGAGAGAGATGACATGAGAGAAGGACATTGAGTAGTTGAGAGAGAGAGAGGAAGAGAAGATTTGCTTTAAGAGAGAGAGAGACATGAGAGAATACATTTGAGAGTATGATGAGGACAGTGACACAATCTGACCATCAGGAGGGAGGGCCAGAACATTGTCATGGGTCCATCTGCTCATTCTGTGTGTTTTATTTGTGAGGCCCTTTTTCACACACACAACGACACAACACACCTACATTCACCAACAGTTTAGACACACACACACACTTACATACACACACTACACACACAGACAACACACACACACACACCACACACACACACAGCAACACACCACAGCCACACACAGAACCACACACAGACAACCCACACTCTCACAACTTACACCCACACTACAGAGACGACACACACACACTACAGGCGGTCCGTGGGGACGCCACTTCTCGACTTGCAGCGCAGCAGGAGCAGGGAGGGAAGTTGGCCTAGCATTATTCGTTCCTTCTGGAGGAGTGTCCCGAGACGGCCATACCTTGATTTGGAGTGTTGGTGTGTGTGTTGTGTGTTGGTGTGTGTTTGTTTGTTTGATGGTGTGATGTCTTCTGTGTGGTGGTGTTTTGTGTGTGTTGTGTGTTGTCTCTGTTGTGTGTGTGTGTGTGTTGTGTGTGTGTGTGTGTGTCTGTGTGTCTGTTCTGTGTGTTGTGTGTGTGTGTGTTCTCTGTGTTGTGTGTGTGTGTGTGTGGTGTGTGTGGGTGTGTGTGTGTGTGTGTGTAGTAGTGTGTATGTGTGTGTTTGTGTGTGTGTGTTGTTGTTTGTGTGTGTGTCTCTGTGGTGTGTGTGGTGGTGTTACTCTGTGTGTGTGGTGGTGTGTTGTGTGTTGGTGTGTGTGTGATGTGGTGTTAGTGTGTGTCTCTGTGTGGTGGTTGTTTCTCGTGGTGTGTGTAGTGTGTGTGAATGTTGTGTGTGTTGTGTTTGTGTGTGTGTGTGTGGTGTGTGTTGTGTAGTGGTCACCTACTATATATTGCTTCAAACTTAAACTTATTATTATTCCTTCCGTACGTTTTTCGGCGCGCTAACTCCTCCGCCAGTTTTGGTCGCCATACACATTAAAAGGTTACCAAAACGTGCGGCTCGGGAGCGAACATTAGTGCTGTGACTTTTCTAAGCGTTTCGCCAAAACGGTTTGCGATAAATGGAAAAACGGCCAAAAAATGAATGGTGTGTATTGGAAGAAATGTTCAACTGACAATAACTGCCGTTTCATTTTAGAGTGGAGCCGAGAGAGAAAAAAATTTGTCGAAAGATAAATAGTGTAAACTGCTCCAAGGGACACAATTATTGTTCACTCTATCATGATAAGTGATTTGTATAGATATCTCGATATTACGTAGGTAAATCCTGTTGGTGTCGCAGTGATACGCCACTGGCTTGAAGCTGTCATATTCAAATATTTTTTTTTTTTTTTTGTGCGGGAAATGCGCGACAGCTGCCACCCAGCAACCCCTCTCAACGGCCCATCTACTCCTAGGTTTAATTGTAGAGGAGAAGTTTTTGAATAAGAGCTCTTGTTGAATCTTCTTCTTCTCAAAAATCTCCCGAGGTCTACATTTTTTTTAACCTTTAGCCCACTGATAACTCGGCAGTCCCTACCGGTCAACAAGATGACGATGCTCAAGGTCTTTTGGTTTTCCATTTTGGTCGTTATTTGGTCGTTCCTGGTCAATATGGTGTTCGGAGGGGTTTCCATTTTTGAGATTTTTCTTGTCTCTTCTTTCCAGGAGTCACAGACTAACCTGCTGTGGCCTAACGAGCAACCTTAATTGATGCCTTTCTGTGAACACATTTGAGTTCCAGGACATCAATCACACGAGACACACCACACACACACCATACACAGAGTTATCACTAGAGTTCACACATTCAGACACACATATCACACACTACGATCTCTCGGACACAACACACACAAGACACACACACAGCAGCACCACACACACAACACCCTCACACTCTCCACACCACACACACCAGACACACCACACACACACACACACACATCTCCACACACACACACTATCAAACACAACAGCCCGTCATCCCAACACACACACACACACACCTGCCTCACACACACACACACACACACACGACAAACATACACAGACCACACACACTTACTTACAGACCGATCCCCTTCATTCCCCTGCTCCCTCTCCTCTCTCTCCCTCCTCCTTCCTTCCTCTCCCCCTCTCCTTCCGTCCTCCTCTCCTCCTCCTTCTTTCCTCTCCCTCTCCTCCTCCTCCTCCTCCTCCTCCCTCTCCTCCTCGCTTGTCCTCCCCTCTCCTCTCTCCTCCTCCTCCTCCTTCTCCTTCCTCCTCCTCTCTCTCTCTCCTGCCTCTTCTTCTCTCCCTCTCTTCCTCTCTCCTCCTCTCCTTTGCCTCTCTGCCTGTTGTAATGACACACAGCTGAAGGTTGTGTATTACCAAATAAGGTCCGAGATTCGTCTCTGCCACACAACAATTTACGGAGTGTAGGATGTTAAAAGTTAGTATTTT